GCCGAGCACATTTTCGGCAGAAGAACAGCGACTGTCATCGTTTCATGTCAAGTTTGGTGTTTGTAATGTTATATTTGCATCGGTTAACATCTTGTCACTTTTTTTACTGTGCTTCTTTCAAACCAAATTCTTTTGACATGTAATTAAACGGTTTGCCAGTCGTCAGATGAGTAAGTTGATTGATATTTTGATTTGTTTAGGTTAGAAAGTTTCTGAATTAGTTTTGGCTTTCAGCCACATGTTGTGCAGGCTTTGAGTGGGTTTTGGCTAGTGAAAAACAAGTATTAAGCACCTTCTGTGCATTGGCATTACTCTTAATTACCAATTACTTGTTTTTCAAGGCGCTAGACCCATTTCTGAGGCTGGAATTGAACAGAGTTTTGTTGGGCCTTTGGCCAAGCTTTGTGTGGTCAGACCACAAGTTTTTCTGGTTAGTTTAGTAGTTTTTGTTGTTGTCAAGTTTTCAAAGCTTTCCCCGAGACTCTAGGCCAGATATTACCCAAGAAAACTCACTTTGAAACTCACTTTTGTGCGGGCTAGGGTCCGTTTGTTCTGTGTCCCTGTTAACTTGTTATTAGGCCTAAGGCCTAGTTTGTGCTCAATTTTGTTTTGTTATTGTGGCCTACAACTTATTTAATGTAAATTTTGTCCCTTTGTCCCCTGTAATAGTGTTTTTTTGTTATTTGTAATGTAGGCCATGTCACTCAGCCTAATTATTTTTTAGTTAAGTAATGGCGCCTCCTGGGGGCCAAGCTCGGTCATAATTAGTTAGTATTAGTGCTCTTACTTGTCCCCTGCAATTTTCATTAAGTTTGGATAATAAATGACCGAGTTATTTAAGTTTTAGTTTAGCGCATTTCTGTTTGCTGAGTGACCGTAGGTAACTGACCCCCTACCTAGCCTCAGGCTAGTTGGTAGGCATGGGTTTGTCTTTTAAAAGCTGCGGGCACCTGTGCCACAGCTTTTAAAAGCAATTTGAGCAGATTTGGTTGGTAATAACCGGAGTTATTACCGGTTTTACCCAAAAATGCACCTCCAGCCAAAGAATTTTTAAAATTTTGTGAGAACTGTTTTTTGAAGTGTTTATTGTAGTATTTATGTAATTGTTTTGTGTTTGATTAGTGTATATTACCCTTCTGGACCCTAAATTCATATTTTTTATTGTCAACTTCAATTTTTATGAAAAATGTCTGTAAGAATGTGTTGTTAAAGTTAGTAATATTTAAAAGTCTATTTATTGTTATGTTTTTAGAGCTCTATTGAACTGAACTAAATTATTTCTAGTCATTTTACATTTTCTAATTTTAAAGACTGTTTTAAATAAAGGAAAACCTATTAAAAGAAAAATATTTTTAATAAAAATCTCATTTGTAATAGTTTTGGTCAGTGAACGAGTGGTGCGGAAATTGTTTTTGGAATTTTTCTTGAAAAGCTTGGTAGGCCTAATGTTCTCAAGTTTATATGGACTTTTATTAGTTAGGCCTGGAATGTGTTCAAAGGGTCCCAGATGTGAGGCTTCACCTGCCGCTGTCCTCGGAGAGGTTCGCCCGGAGGGGCACTACATCTTCTACCTCCTTGGGCTGCCAACGGCCCAGCATCTCCGGGGACCACTATGCCTCCATCTTCCAGTATGGACCACTAAGCCACCCACCGCCTGCCACCGTCAAGGAATCTTGTGCCACTTTTCCGCAAGTTATAGGCCTACTATAGAATATCTAAATTATGAACATTTTTTAAAGGACTGTTTTTTAAGGGGCCCCAAAATGATTGATTATCCATTCTAGTATTTCATAGGAACTGTTATTTATTTGATTGTTATTTATTTTTATAGTATCCAAATTTTTATTTATTGCTTGTTAATTTATTTAAAGTTTAATATAACCGTACAATCCTATTTAATTATTGTTAGGCCTAACATCCACAGTTACCACTAAATTTGTAAGTTCAGGAGGGTAAAGTTTTGAGAAAGCTTAAAGTATTTAAATATTTTTGATAAAATAATTCTTTGGATGGCTGCTTTGTTGTTTATTGTTGATTTTGATTAATTATAGGCTTGTTGACAACTGTTTGTTTTTTTATATTCACCCACGGCCTTTCATTTTGTTAGGGATGTGGGGCGGCCACTCGCACTGTCACTATGGGGGGCATGCTTCCAATAGTTGTTCGTCTGGGGGCGGTGCGAGGGGTCGGCTCATGACGAATATCAGCTGTTTCATTAGTCAGGTTCAGAAACAGCTGGGTCCGGTTTTGCTTAAATGAACTGTGAGTGAATGAAGTTATATGTCTTGTGTAGCCTTGTAACTGACGAATATCAGCTGTCTCATTAGTCAGGACCATTTATAAAAACTAGAGGTCAGTCCAGTGGTCGAAAACTCGACCAAACATATTTAACGCACAGAATTCTATATTTTCACCCCACACTGTAAATAAAACATGTGATTGGTATTTATTAAATTTGTCTTGATTTTCTGTTTATATTTTGTCACCATTATGGCAACCCATAAGGCCAATGTTATTTTTTTCAAATTCATTTTTTGTGTGCCTATTTTTGAGCCTATTTTAAACGGTTACGTAGCGAAGGACAATTCACTGTATACAAATATGAAAACTGATATAACACGAAACAAAACAGTGTGCAACGTTAATGGTGTTTGTATTTTTGGTTTTGTTTTGAAATTATTTGTACTCATTTTTAATAGAACGGAAATCAATCTTCGAAAACTATATTTAACATAATGTGCCTGCTATAAACGACCTTATAGTTTATTTGTAAATATATATAAATTAGAATTTTAAATCCTTTTCAATATTGCATTCATAGTTTTCTGAGGATTGAACTCACCGACAAATTCTGTGAATGTGGTGAAAGGCCTCTCTGTTTGTACTGATAAACAATAAACGTAATTGTCCACTTTTCTTAATTTTACAAAAATATATAAAATCCAAAAGTAATTAAAAAAAACTATTTTTTCAGACCCTTCATAAAACAATGCAAAAAAGATTATATTCCCTTGACAATAAACTCGTCATCAAACCATTGAACCACGATATTACCAAACTAATCCTTGTTTACAGCTTACGGGTCTTTGTTTTTCCCGAATTAACTGCAAAACTAATTGTCATAAATGATTACCGTCATTAATTAATGCTTTAAGCGGTTTACAGAGGATTATCATAACCACAACGTCACAAAGCCCGCCGCAGCTGTCGTGGCGTCACAGTGTTTGGTCTTCATTTACATGAACCAACATATGACCAGTGTGGTGAGGAAACTGAAAACGTTGGATAATGTTCTGTGTTAAAATATTACAGTAAAATTCAAGTTGTTATGTTTATTATTCGTTAATTGTTTATTTTCTGTGAAACAGCTTCCTATACGTATGTGCGTTTTACATGTCTTCTTCAGTGGTCTGTGATGTCAAAATATCACAAATTAAAAATAAGTTCTAAATTTAGCGAAAAATTTATATTTTTTCCTTTAATTTTTAAGAGTCTTAATTGATTGTTAGTTTGATTTCATTAATAATCACACACGTCAAAAGGTACAAGAACGTGTATGTATCAGAGAATGATACAATGTATTAAGTTGAGATATATATTTTAATAATCTTTTCTTTATTTAAACGCTATTAAATAGCTTGTAAAAATAGTTGATACAGGTACAATGGATCAATGTTTAAGTAATTTGGAAACTGTATCATTTAAAAAGAATGATTTCAACCAAGGTTTGATCCTTAAAAATAAAATAAAACATTTTAAAATTTAAATTAATATAAACTTTAAAAACATTGGTTGCCAATTTATTTATTTTACTATTATACGTATAGAAAATTTTGTTTTTTTTATTTTCTACATAATCTGTCGATAGTATAGTGCATCTCAATGAAAGATTTTCAACATAAAAAGTTTTTTGAAAACTTATACTCAAAAAATATAAGCTTTTAAGGACTTTTAACACACTGATATCAATATCTTATAACATCTTGCATCTTATTACATCTAATCAATATCAAAGTGATATGTAACAATTCAACTGGAAAATAAAACTAATTATTGCGCAAACGCTTAGCACACTTAACTTAAGAACCAAAGAAACTCTCACAAAGCTTTTGCCACTCAGTTAATTCGACTTGAGGATTAATCGCAGTAACAACAAAGACTGGAATTCAGACTATACAGAATTTATGAACATTGATTCAACCGAACGTCTATGCAACATTTGTAACAATGAACAACAACAATGAGCAATCATCAGATAACACTTGAACGTCTCAATGAACAGCTGTTAGTCTGACCTAATTTAAGATGAAAGACACACTGGGTATTCAGACTTGGTTAAGAAGACAATAAGGCAACATGTTTTATTTGTAGGCTAAAATATTCTTTCACATTTATTTGTAAAAAGTAATTTCAAAAAGCTTATTCAAACTTTTAGTACCAGAAGTTTGTGTTTTTAAATGTTTTCTGATAGTTTTCTTTCTTTATTGTACGCAATGGTTTGTGTACTAAATATCACAAAACCTTAATACATAAAAATCAACTAAGTATACCCAAAGGTAAGAATTGATTCGGATTAGGAGTGTAGTACATCGAATCAAATAATTTAAGTTTTGAATAATATATATTGTTTCCGTCATTTTGTCGTTTATTACATGATATTCACTTTAATGTCAAACTTTCAGTTCTCGTTTATAAAAAAAAATACTTAATGGAGTTATCACTCCTTTTTTAACGTTGGATCAAATGCGAAGGCTTTCTTTACTATATAAGTGCTGTATTCTGCATTGGGTTCTAGATAAATAAACATCAAATAGGATTTGACGGTAACACGTGTGAAAAATAAGTACGACGCATGTTTAACATATTTTGAGGGTAAAATAAATTTGTTGCATAGTCACCACATTTTTACCCCTGGAAAATGTGTAACTTTAACTTAAGAGGAATACTGCTTTTAACTTTACTGTATTTACATTGAACGATTACTGAATTTAAAAACTCACCGTTCCTACAAAGGAGAATACACATAGAAGAGTGAAGAGTGTCCACCGCTCCATGTCTCCTCTAGCACTGCAAGCTTGACACTTCACATGTCTACACACTTCACACCTTCAATCCACACTTCATGTTTGACCTTGGCCTTGGCAGTCGTCTGTTAGCAGGTGGTCGACACTGACTGAACAACACTATAGAGGTGAGAATTCGAGCTAATTAGGTTCTGGTAAGTTGGAGAGCTTAAGTCATCAATTATGTTGGTTATGAGTTAACGTGTGTGACTGCATAGAAAAAAAAGGAAAAAAAGCGTCTGTAATCTCTCGAAGAAGTGAGATTGTTAAAATTGCAGGTTTTTATAGAAGTCAATTTTTCAGTTTCTGTTATTGTTTGACTTTTATAAAATCCAAAATAATTTATTAATCTAATTTTGATTACGAAAAATTTATTTAAGGTTTGAGTACAAATATTGACTTTTGGATATACCTACCAAGTTAACCACCCCATCTATATTGACTAGGTAAAATGTATTATGCCGCAAAATAAATAATATATATAACAAATTCAACTAAAAATATTGTGTTTAATTGTTGTAAAATAAATATTCTGGTTATTTATTCTGCAATGTTATAGAGTAAATAACTAAACCAGAAAAAATAAATACAATATGCCAATATATCACACTACATTTTACTTCTACTATTAACTTTTTGTGATATATCCAAAGAAATGTTTTTAAGTCATATCTCCTACAGAAGCGACCGATAGTGAATAGCAATAAACCGTTTCAAGCTTAGAAACAGATGTCTAGAGAGGATGAAACTTGCTTCAAGAGATTGGCAGAATTTACTTGGAGCACGTTTTTGCTGTGTTTATAACTTCAGGAGTGACATTAACGAATTGAGTTTTTCACTTGGAATCAGACTTAATGTTCAACACCCAATAATTAATTAAGAGCAATTTTTATTGGTTTTATTTTAAATTCATTTTTAAATTACTAATGAACGAGTTCCGATGAGTTCTTGTTTTGAGTTTATTTACGATATTAACTTGTTTTATCGCTTCTACCCCTGGCCTTGTTACTGTGAATCTTCAACTTTCTAGCATTAGTAGTGTGTAAACATGTAGCTTATTACCAAAACTCTTCTAGTTTCAATCCCACACATAAAAACTAATATCATATTAACAGATATAATACCATTTTGTTGTTATGAAACTAATTTTTGACACATTATTTACATTTTGTCAAGTTGTTAACTAAAAGCGTTGCAACATTTAGTTTTATTATTATTATTTTACCAACAAATATATCATTGCACATGTTTATTTTTTATGTTAAAGAATCAGGAGTGCTATAAAACAACATAATAATAAATTACCATTGCTAAGGTTCATTGTTGATAGTAATAACCATTAGAAAAGTGTTATTGTTGATTTAATTTAAAACATGTTGATGTAGAACATATTACACTAAATATCCTCTTCCATTTATTTTTACATCACTAAAATAAATTTTACTTAATTTACTCCAATCATAGCTTCGTACTTGTTACCTAATATTAGATGAACAAACATCACTACAAAATAATGTGGACTGTCCACTTTCAACGTATAAAAAATACCAATTGGCTTAAATTGACAAAAAATAACATTGGTAATCTAAAATGATTAAATTAGCCAATACAACAGCTGTAGTTATAACACAATTGTAACGAGACAATCCGCCCACCACATATATGCAGCGAGAGATCATTAATTTTATTTGCTCGCAAAACACACAAAACAATGCGTTATCTTCCTTCCTGGCGAGTGATTTAGTTGTGTAATCTCTATATGTGTTTATTCATACAAACCACTTGTTTTCGTTGTTCTAGGTTTTTATGTTGTAGATAACGAAATTATACGTAATATTTTTTCTGTGGCTTTAATATTTGGTTTAATTTGTATATTGATTGGGACATTTATTTCGTAAATGATCGTGAGTGGTATTTGGAAAGATAGGAGGGGGAATCGGTCTAGTAGTAAAGAGCGGGGGGCTTCGTAGCCCGAGGTTCCGTGTTCGAATCCCGCCAAACGACCATGGATTTTGTCTGTGAGATAATGTTGCAGGCCCTTATGACTAGCAAGAATAAATGTGTAAAACAATTCCGGGCTAGAACCTAGCGTCCTAGGATGTGAAGGTTGTATGGAGACTGAAATCCATGGAATGTACCCGTTTCCTACAACGAGCACATAATATAAGTAATATAAACCCATAATATAAATATTTATATTATGTACTCGTTGGTTTCCTACGGATCGACAATAGTACTGTTTTTTTGTAAATTCATTGGATATAATTTGTATATAATTATATGAAAAAGGTTGCCAGGTGACATTTGTTTACAAGGTGTTTTTCATCTTGAACATGTTTTAATTAGCCTTTATGTAAGGTTAATATGAGTAGTAATGTTTTTGCCTGCAACTCTCAAATTATTAGTATTAACCTAATGATATATTTTTTATTCACACCAAAGAGGAAATACACACTGAAATGATCCTTCGTACTTGTCTAAAGAGAATTTCAATGTGGACGAAAATTTGCTGAATTTCCACAGTTATTATTCATTGAAATATTATTTAGTCTTAATTTAAACCCTCTTCGTAAGTTAATTCTGTGGATGCTCGTTTATTCTGGATGAACCACTTCAACTTCATTTAACTGCTTTCAAGTGTCCAGAAAAGAGGACGTAAATTATTTACTTAATCAATACAGTATATTTATTAAATATTAAATTTATTAACTTACAAAATAAACATTTTCCGATCCATTGTCGACATTTTCTTGAACATTTTAAGACCGTAAAACTGCATTAACAACTGAACAAGACCTTTCAACTGATAAACATCTTTCAATATTAGTGGAGATTAAATATATAATTTTAGCTAAAATAAAAATAATCTATAAAACACTGTACACATTGAACACTGTACGACATACGTGTGCAGACCTTTCCAGCAAAAACGATACTAACGACTAATAGTTTTTATTTATAGCCTATTTATCTTCTTATTAGTATTTGAAATTAGACTAGTATGTATAAATATTGAAATTAAAACATGTATTTTTCATATTCTAATACTCTTGGACGTCTGCATTTCAATTATATAGACTATTTAATTATTTTCGTATTTGACTAACTAGAAATGTTTTAGGTACCTTTTTTTGTTATTCTTGTAGTTTAAAACTGTTGTGGCTATATTAAAAGGGTATTTTACGAATATAACTTGTTCTCTAGGATGTAGAGGGTGAAGAAGAGTACATATTTGGAATAAACAAAGAAGGGTTCGAGCCACAATAACGTTTAGCGGGGTCGTAACCCAGCCTTTGTCAAAAGCAATATCTTGTTGACGACGCTACTGGGATCAGGCTAACTTTTCTCATACTTATACAGCAATACTCCCTGTAGAGGTGGTGAGTTTATAAATATGTTCAGAGTGTTATTATGTTATTACGATCATGTGTATGGCAATCACTGTAGATTTATAATAATTAATTGTAAATTTATAATCTTTGGATGTTCATTATTTGAACTTATCAATACGGTATATTTATTATTACAATTTTTTTTTTCATTTTTATACTACCAATACACGAGTAAAAAGGTTTTTTAGTTAATTAGGATTCGGTTGTTAATCAGTTTAAAATGTATAAAGAAAATTGTAGAGAATGATTTTTTAATCCTCAATATGTTTTTTTTTTCTTAATCGTTTAAAACAAAATACTCTTGCCAAAATGATTTAATGAATAGCCGGTATGGATCATAAATATAAACAAATGACGTTTTTGGCCCGAAAGTATACATGATTTAACATTGCTAAAATGGAACTGCCAAAACATAATATGTTTTCATGTAAATGGTTTCTGAACTCGTAATTCGTCATTTGGGTTATACACTAACGATATTTCGTCAGAACTTTTAATTTTAAAACAATGTTTAAAAGCTATATAACTTTACAAATAACTGTTTCATGCCATTCACGAGTTTTTTTACTTTAACGATACTATACGACGTAAATTCCATTTTGAAAACTGTAATCTCTCATACTGTACTAAACTTGTTGGGCCATTTTTCTCCGAAGCTATTTATACAATTTTTTGTTAGCTTTATAAACAAAACTAAAAACTATCTACCAAAATGTCACTCAATTTTAATACAGACTAAACGGAAACAAGAAACTATGATTATAAGCTGCAAATGGGGTGTATTAACATTAAATTAGTTTAAACATTTTATTTACTTTTCACACACTAAAAAGAAAGTACATCATTGCCTAAGTGGCATTAGTAAAAAAGTAGATTTTCGAACGTATTCCATTTTGAAATTGCGTTGAGATGTTTCACAGAGTGTATTAGGATGAGATGAGGTAATTCCTAAGGCTATTAGGCTCAATGACGTCATAACGAGGTCTTTGTAAGAGGCAATATCTTGTTTGAAGTTGATATCAACGTTAAAGGCCTAAGTATATAAGTACTTTCTAAGAAACTGTTAACACACTTATATACTCGTAGTTCCTACTTATTGCTGAGAAGTTTTCCTTTATATAGTTGAATCAATTCGTTACTCAATTTCGAATGAAAATAGCCTTGGCTTTTGTTTTGTGTCTATAAGCTCCGTTGAATCAAGGGACATTGTGATTTCTATGGAACAAAACATCTTTTTAATTATTTTACGGTGTACTAATCAGTGTATTTGTTCTTGGCATTATTCCATGTTGCATGTTGTTTTTCTGAATCACTGATGATAGAATATTAATAAGGTTACATTAACTTTATCGCCAAGTGATCCATGTAAGTCCAAAAATAGGATTAGGAAAAATAGGATTTTGTACCGGTAAAGTGTTTTGTACTTGACGTGACCATATGGTTTAGAAAGTTTTTGTACGATTTGACAATGACACTTTGACGTCGACACGCGCGTAATCCTATTTTTGGACTTACTTGGATCACTTGGCGATCAAGGTAATGTAACCTAATATATATTTTGACATTATTGTCTAGTCTTTAATCTAAGTTAAAATATTTAGAAAAATGCATGTTTCGTATAAATCAAGTATATTAGCACATTGTGTTATATAAAAACATACTTTTTTTTACTTTATTTAATTTACAA